TACACCAAACCAGTTTTAGCGTAAAAAATCTTAGTCAGAACTGACAATTTTTTTGTGAATCGCTTATCGGAAGAGCTAAATTGCAACTGTTACTTTTTGTATCGTTTTCTTGTCTCCTAGTACATCTATCCGTGCTGTCAACTGTCAATTTGTATTTATCTCCCACGCACACACTGTCACTAGAAGAACGTGTTTACTCTAGAGCTCTTATTAATACAACATCAAGGGGTGGGCCGGTCGGCTGCAATTTCGGACTTTGTCTGCTCCCCTGGGAATCAGTTAAGCGTACACGTTATCTCCTTTAATAAGATGCCTGGAATTATGACGTGTTTTGTTTAAGTTGTCCTTTGAATTCTTTGTCTTCTATGTTTTATGGGTGCTAGTAATCATGGCTAGTAATATTTAACCATTGTCTTTTTTGTTTACTTTGAGATCTGTGGAGAGTGTGACTTGCATAGGAACTTTAGTACTTAGAGGAATGTAAAATCGATTATTTAAAGTACTTACAAGTTAGTAGTGAGTCATTGCAGACTTCGGGTCTTTGTCGTTTGTTTGAGGCTCGGCAGTGGCTGCCAAGTTGAATAAAAACAACACAAACGAAAGTTAGGTAGTAGTTATTTGAGACATTATCGATCTCTTTTAAGTTGATAGTCATGTACACTACCTAATTAAGTCTATTAATTAAGTCTATATATCTAGGATTTTCGTTTAAATTACTCTATAATTACATAGAGTTATCAATAATTACTAATTATTGTATGATAGTTGACTGAAAAACTTTGTAATAATGATTGCTATCTGAACAATATCACGACTCCCTTCATCAGATAATTAATACCTCGGCAGTGGTCGAGATATGTTCCGTGTCTTCAATATCGTGACAATGCTGTTTTTTTATTACGACAGAACATTGCAGTAGTGCAATAAAGCCTAGTGCGCTAGAATTCTCGTGAACCCAGGAGCAAAAAGTGTTTCAAGTGGTCATTCTCCTTTCTAGCAAACTTGTAAAAAATACAAAGCGTAGATAACAAATGGCTACTGTACCGGAACTCCGTTTGAAGCGCTGAATCGCTAGATAACGCCGTGCAAAACCTTATCACGCTACGAACGCACGAACATGTCTGATTAGCAATATTAGAAGTGTGCTGAACTAATGGAAAATCACAAAAAACTTATCGTTCCTACCAGGTTTCAAGAAGAACTCGATGGCCAAGGGATCAAAGCAAAGTTCAAGCGATTTCTTTTGAAGAGGGATTATTGCGAGGTCTCAAAGTAACCACATATTCAGGTAAAGAGCATGTAGGTCGGTTTAAGTACGATCATTAAGGAAAGGTAGGAAAGTGATTGGATTCGATTTAACTGTCCTTCAAAAATCATTTTGCAGAACTGCAATGCAACACTCGATTAACGATTTGCTTATTAACTATAGCTTTAGATTTATACATTGAAAATATTATCTTGTGCACGGTATGTCTTTGATTCTCTGAGAACGTGTGGTTTCCGATCCAGTTCAATAGCATTCGCAGCCGCGCGTGTAGGTACGAGGGGAGAGGACTCGATGGGGAGCGTGCAGCCCGCTCTACCGGCGTAGCTGTATTTAGCGATGTGTACACGAGGCATTGAGGTTACTTCAGTAGATGCTTTTACAGAGAAAATTACTTTGTATCCAGCCCTACTTTAGAACAGGGCTAGACTCACTAGCATGGCCTGTATATTCATGATGGAAAGCTCAAAATTGCCAAAATTAATACTCACATGTTTTTGGGACAAATAAGCTCTAGAAAGTTTTGCTACTATTTATTTTCGTTGAATCTGATTGTAGACATGTTCTGTTGAACAAAGTTATTGTTTGTCAAAGAGATCAATTATTTTCTGACTTCAGTTAGATAATCACACAAATATGCATCGTCCTGTTCCTTTGTTTGTTCTTTATTCCGAGAACATCACAGTGAAATAAAATTAAATCGTCCATCTACGTCTCAAGGAACTTTTATTTTTTAACTATCTGTCCGCGGCAACACTCGTCTGAAGGTTACTGGTTTTTTCTTCTATTTCTTAACTTCCTGTCGCAGTATAAAAAAAAGTTGTGCGAAGTTAACTCTGCCGTCTGAGTAACGGAAATTAAGGAGTATCGATTTAAGTAGAGAAGTCGGCAAAAGTGTCGGCTGTAACTCTCATTGCGGAACTAAGACACGACCGCAAACATAGAAACTGTTGCTGATCACAACTTCGGAACTTCGTGACCGAAGTTGGAGATAATCAGGCAGTGCTCATTGAAAACAATTTCAAGTAGACATTAGTTCTTATTAAACGCACTGCCAAAGTTACAAAGCAAAACTTTGAGCTTTATTTTTCTGCATCAAAGTTATTCTCGACTGTTACCTGCAGCAAGTGCACACAGCGTCAAATCTCAGCGTTACATCTCGATTATGTAACGTTAATTGAATTGCCGCATGTGGTAACACCAGTACATGGAAAGGTCGGTTGGGTACACGTGCAGTGATTGGTTCTGTTCTGACTGTGACCAACTTCTTTATAAAATGTTCTAAAACTTATGCTATACCTACAATGCTAGAACTAGTTCTAGCATTACGAAACGTGTGTTGAACTACACTTTACGGCGCTCGTACGCCGAAACTATTGGTTTTAGCAAAAAAAGGTAATGACATAAATTGATGCTAGCGTCTATAAACAAAGCCTCAGAGCTGCGGATAGCCTAACCTAACCTACCGGGGCTCCGGCTCGAAGCAGGAACGGGGTGGGCATTAAGAGTCAGACACCTTCTCGCCTCACCTAAGGTAGAAGAAGTGATTGAATAATTTTCACCCCTCAAAAAAACTAGGTAACTACTTTTTTCATTTTACTTTATTTACCTATCCACGTATATAGATTTGTTCTATACATATGTGTAGACTTCAAAAGATTATTTTCTTCGTTTTTCATTAACAACAAAGTTTGGTCTTCCAATATCTTTCCACTCAGATCTGTTTCAAATTTAGAGAAATGGATGCAGCAAAAAGATCAAAAGTAAAAAGCAAAACCAAGGTTAGTAATTAGTTAGTTTTTAGTCATCTAATAAATTAACTAATGATGTAATTACACAAATGGACTTTAGACTGAATTATTAGATTTAGAACGAATCACAAACACGCTTTAGTTAATACAGAATTGAAACACATTATGCCACTGTACAATGTAACACCCACTTTTCACTATTTATGTTATGACTATGAGTCCCATGTAATAGGGGTTGCGCCTATTGCCATATACCGGGCACAATTCCAGACTCCGTGCTACTACTGAGAATTTATAACAAACCTAGTAATACTTTGCTCGACCTGGGAATCGAACCCGAGGCCCCTTGGTCGGCAGTCGCACTTGCGACTACTCGGTCGACGAGGCTGTTTTTTGACAGAAACTATATATACATCTAATGTCAAAAGTCGATCCATTTTTCCTAAGATTTTGGATGCAGATCGAACTTGTAGTTACGGAGAAAAATCCTGAAACGACAACTCGGTTTGTATTCGGAGCTTTGTTTTAAACAACCACGACGATTTCACCGTTTTAAAAAAAAGGTTCGTCTAACTATCTACTAGTTGTCCGCAAAATAACTTCAAAAATTTGAATAAATAATGCTTTTCTTTCTTCTCTGCTGACTCATCCATAACTAAGCAGTAGGGCAGTTCTTATTTTGTGTCGATTTTAACGAAAAAGTGTTGTAACTCGTTATTTTTACCTAATTTATTGGCCACAAGGATAGTTTTAGATACAGGCATTACTTAGTTTCTCCAACAAAAGCGTTAATAGTACCTGTAGGAGTGTAGATAGCAGCAAAGTTTCTTTTGTAACGATGACATAGGAGCCTAAGCTGAATGGCATGAATTTTGTAGCACAACGAGACCCCTATTTGTCTCCAGGAAGGTAAGGTTCTATGCTTGGCCCCATGTCATGGGTAAAAGATTTCCATTCACATTTATCACTTTTTAAAATAGCGGCACATTCACGAGATTTATCATTCCGGTAGTGCGACACACATTCCTTGATATGGTCAGTCAGTTTGACTACAAAGTATGCCTTTTTGTTCTCTCTACACAATGTAAGATATTCTACAGCAACTACCAACTGTTTAAAGTGACGTAACGTTTCTATACATAGTAAATTAACCAATTCCGACCGTTTCGTTTGCTTTGCACATATATTTTGTCTCTGTAATTAAACTAATAGATGTTAACTCATTATTTTCAACTTATGCATGCTAATAAAGTACCAGGGAGTCATGGTACTGATGCAGTTCATTATTCTTCCTTCCATTTTGGTACGATCGAGCTTGCTTTACCCGGGTCTACACAGCACGGTTGTCTTTGCTTGGCGACTTCCAAAAATACCTCCGCTGCGTTGCCTACTCAAGCTGACGTTGGCTATTTTGCGTGCTGGCATGATTCCAGGCTCGGTACCAGGGTTACACGTACTGTCACAGCCACGTAATATCACTAGTCTTGCTCTTGACGTCACCTTCTAAACCGAAGTCTGCAATTAATTATGCCAGAAGTTGCGTCTCGCCAAGCACTAAGCTAACTTTTTCTAAGATTTTATCTTTGTTTTGTTTCAGACAGATGCAATATATTTCGTTAGTCTAAATACAAGCAGCAGCGCAGAATTAATGTTGAAACCGCTTCAAAACAATGATTCGGAATATTGCAAAAACTTATGACTAGGTTCACGGCTTAATTTTAGTTTTTGTGGCCTGTATTTTTTTGAAAATCATCGTTGCGTGAACTGTAGAACAAATTAAACTTGTTTATACATTTCATAATTTAACCAAAAATGACTAAGAAGGAGTATAAAAGTTTACGGAAACGCACACAGAGAGTTCGCGGGTGCACGATTAGGCCTACAGTTTGGCGGGGCACCGCTGCTCTCAGTCACCACCAGGCGCCACTTCTAACATTTAAATAACGTAAAAATGTTAATGTTTTAAACTAAAAGCAAGTACATACCTTACAAACAGGTCCCAATCCAGATCCTCGGTAAAAATCCAATTGATAAAACACAGTTTTACACAGAATTTTGAACGAACACACATGCAACGAGTGCAATGAACTGTTGTGAAATGCAATCGTTACAACAATTTTGTTTTTATTTTTAACTCGAAATTGTTACAACACAAGCTTATCAAATCCACTTTTATCACTGTGAAACACTAAATTTCGAGTTCTGCGTCGAGTCTAATGAAGTTGAATATCCTTAGAACTGGAACCGGTTTATTTTTAATGTATAAATGTATTATTAAACATGTTTAAATATAATACAACACAGAAATCTGGCTTCACAAGGAAAAAGTAATAGACGCTAGAAACTACGCCGAACAGCGAAGTACTTCCGCATCCCCAAAACAGCTGTTCGGGACTAGTGACGTCCAAAAATCGATAACAACCGGATTAGGACAACCGTAATTATACACCACACAACTTTTTCACAACACAGATTACCGGTTTCACTATCCTTTAATGCATGCCTTCACTGTATCAGTCGTTGTAGAATAAGGTAAACGATATAATTCAATGTACAATATGTAACGTTCTCAAGGAAATAAATTGAAGGACGAATAGAAATGTTTGGAGAAAGTTTGTGCTTAAAAATCACAATTTTTGTTTTGTTTATGATGGTGATTCTGTAGTGAGCACATTTTAGTAGTGAGCAGCACAACGCACGCGGTCGCGCTCGGTCGCGGACTGGCGGCGTCGGCGCGGGGCGCGCGGGCAGGGCGGGGGGCGGGGCGCGGGCGGGCCCAGCCAGCGGAATGCTATTGTAGGCGAACTTGCCCGCCACTTTTTTTCTCAATTCTGGTCAAACAAGTTTTGTATACAACCTGCATTGTAAGGATTCCGCCATTCTTCGTACGAGGCAACGGTCTTTCTAAACTTAGTGTGCTCAGTGTAAGGTTTCGTTGGAACTTCGAAAACCAGGAACGAAGTAAGAAGGCACTAATCACTTACCTTAGGGTTCCTTTCCATCAATTCCATCAACAATATTTGTATTCTACAATGAGGAGTAGCCCGTCACACACCAATTTAACGTTACAAATTAAGATTACGAAGAAAGTAAACATATTCAGATGAAATACTAAACACATGGACATACCTAGGTCCTACCTTCACAAAGATTTATCGATAAATAAAAAAAATGAAGGGTACTATGATGAAACCATCACTAAAGTGACACTTCACATACCTAAGTCAACCAAATACGAAAGTTTATTCGACGATCATAATGACCCTTAGAGACTACATAGCTTACAGGATCAGATAGATAATAATGATGATCACAGACAGGCAATAGGAACTAGGGAGCAGGAGGAAATAGAACTGTTTTCATGATTATAACAAATGGAGTAAGAACCTAATAACATGCTCATAGGAGACTGCAAGTCACTCATCTACATATTAGTAACAGTAAACCTTAACAGGACGAAGAAGATGCTTAAGCTGTCTACAGTCCTGGTACCTATTGATAAAAGTTAGATGCAAAATTCAAATTAATTCGTTGTAATCCGATAAACCCAGGACAGCAATAAGTAAGTGCTAAGTAGCTATCAGTTATTTTGTCATAAAAATATCTCCATACTGTTACATTTAGCATCCACATCCCACGACAATCAGCCAGGTATTATTTGCCACGACCTGAACATTCCCACCTTCAAGGTTAGAAGGCAACTTCTAAACTAAGTATTTGAAGAGCGATAAACGAACTTCCAAGAGGTCGGATAGACTCGACACTGAAAGGGACAGCCTAATTGCACGTTCCCTAAGCCAAAAAGAGACGGGACGATTTATTTTATTTATTGCCATATTAAGTTACGTCGCGGGTTCTGTATCACGGTTGTGTGAAGGAGACGGATATAGATATATTGTTCCCCTTGACCTCGTCAGCGGGAGATGCTGTTGATCAGATTTTTTGGAAATTATACTTTTTTAATTAGTTATCACAGAACTGGTTTACCGTATGGGAATATGGTAATGAGGTGTTAGATGTAGATGTAGCTCATCCGACAGATACACCGTACCTGTTCATTTGGCTTGTATTGAATTGTAACGATAGTAAAATTAAAATTGTTTCGATACTGTGTTATATGTAGGTATAGCCCCAAGGGTTTTAATAAAAATAGAGGCATATTCATTGAACACCTACGTAGTAATTTGCAATCTACAAGATAATAGGGAAAAAATAATTAAAAGATAAACTATAAAATAAAACACAATAATTGAGGAAACGTAGGAAACAGTAAGCAGGAAAAAAAATTCTGACCTACCAATTTAATATTTCCTAGCATTGACTCAGTCATATACATATAACTAAGGTATTTTAAATATCCATAAGTATTTGTGAAGAGGATTATGATTGCACAGAGGGAATCACAAATTCCGTACTATAATAACGTACTGTTAACAAATTCGTGCTGGTATCAAAATTACATAAGTAGATAACGCTGCAAAGCTACGCTGAATTGCAAAGCTGAAAATTTATCGTTCAGCAAATAGTCCATTTGTCAAAGGTAAGCCTGCATAATATTTAGTAAAAAATATTACGGTACGTACGTGCGAGTGGCGAATAAATTGTTTATTTCTATTCTAGCTACGTAGTTTTATTTGTCGTTTATACCTCTAATATTGAGCTTCTAAAATAAAATAAGAATTAAGAGGCAATGTAGGTAGTATTAGTATCTATTAAAATTAATTAGTGTCTCAAATTTACTCACGTAAGTATTTGACGAGGTAACGCGACTAGTTTCGAGCTAAGCAAGGGACTCATAGTCATACTCATCACATGAAGCAACATTGCACGACTCTCGTGTTGCGTCGTTTGTTGCATTAATATTATAGTCGGATCTACCTTGTCTAACACGTACTTGAGTAAGCCGTAATACATAGTTAATCTATCAGAGTTTAATTATTCAGAATGCACGAATAGTTTTACTAAACTCTTCTTTCTGATATATATGAACCTGATTCCTGAGGCCTTAGTATGAGTTTGATTTACGTTTTAAGTATTCGAAACGAGTACGCGTTTGGCACTCTTATTGGCCGGCGCCAATGAAGCAACCAATCACAGCGCCGAACGCGTACTCGTTACGATTACTTTCACTCTGACTGAAAAAGCTTGGATTTTAACTGAGCATACAAAATAATTTAGTTCCTTTTCCTTCAATACAACTACTTCAGTAAAATATAATTAAGGTACCCAGGTACAGGTTATCTTATGCCTTAACCTGTAAATAAAAATCTAAAACTACATTTACAGTTGCTAAAGCATTGATGCTTTGAAACCTAAGAGAGGCATATCAAATTAACAGTAAAATGTCAACGTTATAGAACACTAGAAAACAATAGAAATGCATACAGCACAATGAGCATGTTCTGTGTTGTAATGAAACCCGAGCTTTAATATCAAAAGGTTTCAGCATTCACATTTCGCAGTAACTTTAAGCTCTCGTATAAATATTACAAGGCAATCATACAGAATCCTTACTAATCGGAAAGTGAGTTTGTTTGTTTGTTTGTTTGTTTCACTTTCACGCCGTAACTACTAAACCGATTGCTTTGAATTTTTGCAGACGTGAATTTAGAAGTCTGGATTAAATAATAGGGTACTTTTTATCCCGGAAAAATTTGATAGTCTCGAGGGAAAACGAAATTATTGGTATAAATGGCGCTGTGTGTATTGGTATATGTCACATAGGCTACTTTTTATCCTTTTGTGACGCGAGCGAAGCCGCGGGTAAAAGCTAGTTAAAAATAAAAAGGGTCGTTCTATTCAATAAAAATCAAATCGTCACCACCGACGACGAGTCGTAACTGACACGTAATTCTACAGTTTAACGTCGATTCCAGTTCAAACAACCGGTTATTTAGTTCCAAAGAATAGAATGTCAACAGGTTGTACTGAGAATTCTTACAAAGCGGATGAAAGCTAGACATTACGACGTAGCCAGCTACAAATACAAATGATACCTTTTGTTTCCTCGATGTTGTACATTTTAGGATTTTGTTTAGTCTACATTATTGAGCTTATTTTGAAAACGTCAGCTCAGGGACAAATATTATGCTAGGCCTTGAATGTGGAAATACATAGTTTCGATACTTAGAGGAAGTTTAGGGAATTTTCTTTTGGTCCGATTCCAAATAGGTTTGGCACGAGAGATGCTGACATAGGATCTTGTAAGCCAAGCGATTATTTCATCTGTGTACTACATGACTAAAAATATGTAATGAATTATGTGACGACCGAAGTACAAACACCCATTAACAAACATGAGTGAGTATGGATGTATATTTTTGTTCCCAATTTTCCAGGACAAGCTTCATGTCGGAGTGAGAATGAAATATAAACTCACGTCAACCTTTTAACCTACGCAGAATGTTTTATTTATGAGAATAATTTTATTTTTGGGATTATGAGGGCTTTTGGAAGTTAATACATCACCTTTGAATCTACTTCAACAACCGACAGTGCAAATAAAATACAATGGGTAGGTACTACAGAAACACCAGAAACTTCGGTTTAATGACATTTTCTTACGAATTCATTAAGCTTTTACCATTTCAAATAGAAAGTTGTTCACTAAAACCCAGATAACACTAACAAAAACCACAATGGATGAATCAGTCGCTTCTCCTAATACACGAGTCGGGGTTTCCAAGTGACAATTGTGGAAGTGCTCGGGAGCGGCCGGGGGTCCGGGGCACAATGAGTGACGGATTGACGACCATTGTTGCCGACAAAGACGAGACAAATCAAAGAATAGCCCCTCGGCAGAATACCCGAGATCCACCGTCATGGGACGGGACTTCCCCCTTTGTAATATCTCGTTATAGTTATTTAATTAAGTGCAATGTTAAGATTTTTCGTACCGAGTGCGAGGGTTGCTTGTTATTATTTTTCTTCTAGAATAGACGAATATTTGAAGACCAAAATATAGGTAGCATTAACGCCCCCTAAGCTCTGAAGTAAAGCTAACGTAACGCCTATCAACACAGCTATCAAAGATATCAAATATTTATGTTTAAAGATATCGTAGGTTTAGAGATTACGATAAAATGTATCGAAAAGGGTAAAAGGGACACCATAACCTACCGTGACCATATTTGTAGTATTTTTTACATTTGTATCTTGATATTTTATTGATTTCTCAATGTTAGTACTCGTCTACTACGCTTATACACATAGAGCGTATTCCGTCTATAGATTGTAGACGTAATAATTATACGTAGAGTTGGGATGATGACAGGGTATGAAAATTAAAATTCTAATTAGTCCGTAAGTTAGGTAATGAAAAAATATTAGACACGTATTGTTTTATTTTGTCGTATAATAAAACAATACTTAGATAAAACGAATCAAAGTTTAGGAGTAGGGGCTAAAACGCCATTTCTACGTACAAAATGTACATAGAAGTGACGTCACGCGACATTTCGATTCAATATATCGTCGAAAGTATTCGTTTTTGTAAGAAAATAAAAAATACGTGTCTAATGATTTAAAATAATCTACCAGACGCAAAATTAAGCATCTACCCTATTGTCTGAAATCGTATTTATTACCACTGATGGCTTATGTCCAATGGCTTATGAATTTGAAGTTTACCAATATCGCATTTGATACTTTACCTTGGCTTACCTAGGTTGGTACTTAGTTACTTGTTGAAACAAATCGTGGAAATACTAAAAGCGAATGGCATTGGTGCCCATTTTATTGTATTCTCGAGCAAATTACGACAAGAGAAAAGAAAATAGAACCATATAATAATATTAATATGAAATATTTATGCTTATTTGTTAGGATCGTGGGAACAATGGGTGTTTGGTTTTCAATTAACTTCAAATATAGGGCTTTCAATAAATTTTACATTGTTATTTCCATATTGTGAACAACATTAGGTTCTTATTGCACAGTTTGTGTGTAATAAATAATGCAGCTTTTGTTTCTATTTACATCGATCACAATAAACATACTATTTGTTTTCTTGTGTCAGTTTTCTCCAACCATTTTTGACACACACATCAGCTTTTCTTTCATCGTTATTAATTATGAAAAGCTAAGCATCTCATGTAAAAATACATCATCATCATCAACAGCCTATAAATGCCCACTGCTGAGCAAAGCCTCTTCTCACACGGAGAAGGTTAGAGCGTTAATCACCACGCTTGCTCAATGCGGGTTGGCGATTTCAAACTTATAATTAGAAATTATAAGTCCAGGTTTCCTCACGATGTTTTTCCTTCACCGTTTGTCAGTGGTGTCTAAGTAATCTTAGTTAAATGTAAAAATACGTTAAATAATATTTAGGTTTCTTAGTCTCATCGTAGTCACCAACAACAAAACAAATTGAAATAGAACTCATGAGTTCCATTATGGCTCAAAAAAGAATCAACATGCAGGAAATCGACCAATAAACTTTTTGTTCGAACCCGCTATTCGTGCTATGAAAAGCTAGTATTACGTGCAACATAATAACACTCATCACTTTTTCGCTCAAGGGAAATGTTTCCAATAAAACTTAACAAATTATAACGCCGACGCCTCTCTAATCTAATCAAAACAAATCATAACCTATCCTAACCTGCACCGCAATACGCTACTCAATATTTTTCTTTTTGTTTACTATAATTCCAAGTTGTTCCCCAGTTCGAAGTTACTGCAACGCGCGCTCTCCTGTCATCTAATGATTACGGGAGATCATTAATATTCCAATTTATATCCATGTTTATATATTTTCTGCGTTCTCTTTGAAATTGAAACTTATTTCAGTCGTTAATAAAGTTTTATCCTAAAAATGAACTTTATTTATTTATTTAAAAAACTTTATTGCACATATAGTGAAATTGGTGGACTTAATGCTGTAGGCATTTTCTAACAGTCGACCATTGGGTGGTGCAGAAAGTTAAAGCGGTAGGTGCAAAATTATAGAAAAGAAAGTATAAGGAGATAACGAAGTTGAGGTAATAAAATATTAAAGAGGGAAGACATGATTGTTATAATCGATAATACATAACTAATGACATAGGAACTTAAAATATAATTATAATTAAAATATATACTTTAACATTTGACTTAGCCAAAATTAGGTACCTAGTTGAATTATTAATGTTAAGCCCCGCACTCGGACAAAAAGGAATTGTGACAGTCTAATAACAAACAGGTCTTTTACTGCTGGCTGCAATTTAGTAAAAACAATAAAAAATATAAACACGAACGTGTCACTAACTAATGAAAAATCGGTAATTTACGGTAATTAAGCTTTTAGTGCTTCACTATTGCGAGTAAAACCTGTCGGTGGCGCGCGGCGGGAGAGGAATCGATTCCCGGCGCGGAGCCGGGGTGCGACGTTGCCGCTCTGCCGCGCGTGTTTTGTTTGGGTTGTATGCAGCGGCAACAGGCCCGCATGCCCCTAGTCCCGTCGCCCGCCAAACGTCATCGGTATAAAAAGTTTAAAAGCCAAGTTACTGCAAGGCGACCGCAACTATTGCAAGTTTTTTATTTCATTTGCTGTACACCAACTATTCAGACTGTAATACTGTTTGGGAGAACTTTGGCTGGAGGTATTTTAGTGGCTAGATTTCGTGACTAGCGCAGTGTTCAGTAGAGGCGGCGTTCGGGTGGCACTCGGCGAAGTTGCACGATGCATGCGTCGTGTCCTGACCATGACCTATTTATTTAGCCTGTCGTAGCCCGACATTGATTTACTTACCTGTCTGTGTTATGACGCAGTACTTGTAGTTAGGTAGTTGTCCCTTTGAAGTTGTTTCCAGGTATCAGGTAACAAGGGTGTTCAATGTTTGTTACAGTAAACAATGCTATTTTTTTCTATTTCTGTGGGTGTACGTATGTTCTTATTATTCTTATTATGGGTATTTATTTTGTCTATACCTTTACGTAGGTATTACGTGGGTGAGGATTAAACCAGGATAAGGCGATGTTCAGGTGCCTATGTAGGTTAACTGCTTTAGGTAGGTAGGTACTTCCCTAATTCAAATTATTGCGGATGTCCTAGGTATGAATTATATTAATAAGCTGAATACTAAGTTGAACTTGAAGCTCTTGGAGTTTTGGTTTTCATTTAAGAAATTTCAAAAATCTCTAAAACCTAATTTGCTTTTCAAAATGTAAGGGAAAATAACTTATCAAAGATTAAATTCTGTTGTCTGCCTCGTTGGCCGAGTGGTCGTAAGTGCGACTGCCGAGCAAGGGGTCTCGGGTTCGATTCCCGGGTCGGGCAAAGTATTACTGGGTTTTTAAATATTCTCAGTAATGGCACGGAGTCTGGAATTGTGCCCGGTATATGGTAATAGGCTCACCAACATAAATAATGAAAAGTGGGTGTTACATTGTATAGTGGTATAATGTGCACATCTGCCTACCCCTTCGGGGATAAAAGGCGTGATGTTATGTTATGTTATGTGTAAATTATGTTGAATTTGTTTCTTAATAAATAAAACCACAGACTATAACAAACAATAGTATATTTAATTCTCGCATACATTTTTAAACTTTTCTTTACAAACTTTAAGTTAGCCCACTATTGCTTGACTAACTTTAAACAGTTACTTAATATAAATCACTTGGTTTACTTAGTTTCATGTTGGGTTTAGGACAATGGTTACTTACTTAAATCTAAGTTCAACTTTGAACAAGTTTCATCAACTTGGTAGTCTTGGTACAAATGTCTATTTTTAGAACATATGTATCTATCACATTTTGCTAATATTCATAATAATATCATGTGCTGTTCATTACGAACGAATACAAGTCACATTAAATAATTACAGGTAAAGAAAGCTTATTTTTTATTAATTCAAAAAATAGATTAATGGTTTTTGTTAAGTAAGTAATATAATTTGTATTGACAAAAATTAGATATGGGTAAATTGGTGCCGCAGTGGCTGGGCGGCTGACTGGCTGAGCAATGTATTGCGGGGTATATTCTCGCACGAAGCATCTCTTGTGTAACCTACTAATTAGTAATTTGAACTTTATTGCAAGGAAATAAAGTTGCAAAGTCTATTGCAAACAGGACGACAGATTTATGAGCAGCAGCTAGAAGTTATTCTAGCTGTTTTACATACATATATATTCCGTTTTTAGTTCTGATGATAGTAAACATTTACATTTTTTAGTTTTTAAAAACCAAACGTAACTAAATTTTTCGACGCTCTCACAAACATTTCTTTCAGCAAATACCTACTGTTTTAATTTAAATTTATAAAATGATAGCAGGATATTTAATCACAACTTAAGCTTTGAGTAACATATCAGTATGCGGCCGTAAATCTAATTACAATCTACTACTTATTTCATCAATAACGTCCCTGTAATTCAAGTTTTTCTCAACAATGAAATAACTAACAGCACATTTATCTAAGTGTCACTTATCTAAGTGATATCTATCACTAATATGTATTTCTTAGACTACTTTGGTAACAAATGAAGCATGACCTATCTTCTTCAATATAGATAAAACAATATTTAGGACTGAAATGTTTGAAAAGGGCACCGAAAATTACTTTGTTTAATGCTTCCTTAATAAAGAAAAACTTTGGTTTAATATAACATTCGCTTCAAAAATAGGGAAAGATCAAAATTATCTACAAGAAACGGGAACTTTATATAATTATGATTGAATGTTAAAAGGGACGGAAGGATCAATTCGGATCCAAAATATAAGATCGGATTTCAATGTGATATCAAATTAGCACCAGTTAAATCTTAAAACTGCAGATTTTGTGTACCCTGGTACTTAAGAATAAAGAGATTTTATAAAAGTGGCTGGTAACTGTATAGCTACATGAGGTGGAACATCGCAAACTCAAGGGAATTGAATCGATTACACCCTTTTTAGCAGCCGTAGCTATAGGAGTAAGCTCCAAATTACTTGAACAGAGACCCAGTTATTTTAAATGTTTCTTGAATATTATAAGAATTTTTAATAAAACTTGCATAGATTGTATCACGAACGATTGAAGATTAACCGTGGATTGAACTAATGCCAGATTATCATTTTACATTTAACAATTGTCTCTAAAAAACAAGTATCAGTTTTACAACAAACTTACGTAAGGCACTATCAGTAAGAGTATAAATTCTTAAACAGAAGTCTTCTAAGAAGCTATTAAATGTATTAAAAGTTTTCAAAAATATATCTAAAACAATATTAACGAAAACTACGTAGAAATTACGAGTTACTCACTTATATATACTGAGAAAAGCTCTACTAGTTTCGACTTTCGAGAGTTTCAAGTCACAGAGGCGTAGGCTGCGCGACATCGCCTTGATTGGGGACGCTGCTCTTGAGGAAGAGTCCCTCTTTGACTTGAAACTAATAGAGCTGAGCAGACTTATTGGTATTTAAGAATATAATTATTTGTTTGTGCAATCATTTCAAACTATCAACAAAGGATCGCTATCGCCCAATCGAATGATCCAAAGGCCTGTAGAGACCAGGGACTCTTGTCTTCATCTTCTTTTCTCTCATATTGTTTCTCTTCTCCTATTCATAATCCTACATACACTTTTATTCTCACCTGACTAAGTCCCTCTTCTCCGCAGGCCCTATGTTATAAAGAAATCTTGGCGACATATTTAACAATTGAATAAAAACATTTTATAATCAACACGCACCCATATACAAGTCAATCTCCATTACGGAAGTTCTATACTTACATTCTCTTAAAATTTTCCTAATTTTTCCTAACCTAACCTAACCAACATATCGATCATATTATTTTGGTCCTATAAGTTTTGTAATTCTATGATTGCGAGGTTCACGAAGACATAGTTATTCCTGTACAAATTCACTCTTGCTGTAATTTCAAAATATGTTCCTTCCGTACTATTACAATTTTTCTGTACCTATTATTATTAACTCTTCTTCGAATGGAACTGTTGGCTTACCGACGACTGGGCCGCGATCTCATTCAGCAGCATGTCCTGCATCTTACTTCTCACCACCAGCTTCCTTATTGGATCCAGTTGCCTAAAATACGGCGCTAAAGACTTCAAGAACATCATATCATAGTCTTCTTCCGGAAGTTTTTGCATTTTGTCAGGTATGGGGTCTTCCTCGTATCCCTGTTCGAAGTATACTTCTGCTTCGTGGCTCCCAGCTGTAACATTCTCTTGATCATCTACAAAGTCGAAATCGTCGTCTGTTAATTCTTCTTTGGTAGCTACTTTGTTTCCCTCGTTTTCTTCTTCATTGTCTTTATTAGTCTGGTCTTCAGTTTGTTCTGTATCCTCAGTCTGGTCTGGTTTCGAGCTCTCAGTGACCTTATTAAGAAACTTCATCGCATTGTAATGTCTCCATTTTCCAGTATAATTTACGGAGCCAAACTTTTTGATTTCTTTCTTGAACAGGTCTCGGAGATTCTTCCACCTCACTCGAAGGCGATCCTCTGTGAATAGAAAGAATAAAACATTAACAAACTAAATTTAGTTTGGCCAAGCAGACTTTTACAGTAATTTGTTTTAAAAACAGCTTCTTTTCAATATAATATAAAAACATGTACCTAGGTAGCTGAAATATTTTTGACTGAGTTGATTAGCAGTTGAAATGGGCATATGAATATTTCCATACAAAGCCATCCTTTGAATGAGTATCGCTAACGATGTGAGCCATAGTTTGGATCAATGCTATCATAGATCTGTCCACCCTATTAACGATATGCGGGATAATTGTGATGCAAAAAAATAACTAACAGAGTTAAAACGTAAGTTTTTTTTTTTCATCGTCTCATCTCTCCCAGGGGTCATGATTGCCTCGGGGTACAATTACCCGCGCATTTGCTGATGGTAAATGCCTTTTGAGTATATCTATCTAGCGTGATATACTACGATAAATAAGTAAAAACTGATCATGTTTATTATCTTTGTCGCCGAAGGAATAAAACCTAACACTTTGTAACAATCTGTAAATATTGTCGGCTTAAATATATAGGTACACTTAATATTAGAATTAGGTACTTAAATTAGGCAGGAGTCAGAGACATAACATAGTAATCTACAAAGTATTGTTTTGTGTACCTCTGTAACTAAGTATACAAAGTACTAACTAATATCAACTAGTAAGTTGGGATTTTGAGACTAGTAATGCCATCTATATTTGCGTGGGCGCACTATTAGAGCGAGCGGCTGGAGGCCGGCGCGCGGCGCGGCGCAGACTCACGTGTCGCGTGTCGTATTAAAGTATACATTAAACACTGCACCTGGTAGTTCCATCAGTTCCGCTACCTCCATCCAAGCCTTAGCCATTCGATACCTATCGTTGTAACGTTCGTGATGTGGGTTCCACAAACATTCTCTCTTTTTCACTTCTTTAATGAGTTTCTTCAACGATTGATCAGATAATACCAATTTCCTTTGCATTTTGACACTAGGTGTTTTGAACATAAAATCGCGTCGCGTCACAACGGTCTGCGCGACTAGAGTTCGCCGCGGCAACTGGCGGCTGGAGGCGAGACGGGCGCGCGGGCGAGCGCGGCCGATACGCACGATCAATGTATGGCGCGGTTCAGACTCGACGCTCGCGCGACTTTTGCCTTATAAGATAAAAAATTTATACATAGTTTATAAAGTACCTATTTAATTATAATTGTTTTTTACTTATGAAGCTATTACCAATACTTCCAAAATGTAATGTCAATTATTGAGACATTGAGTAGTGTATTGACATTATCAGACATTTTTACCTCAAAGCACATAAGAGGTATGTAGGAATCGTGGTAATTGGCGTTCTATAGTCTCTGCATACCCCTATGAGAGACAGGCGTGAAGTTATGTATGTAAGTAGTACATAAGTAGCTGTAGACCGCAATCGCGTCTCCGAGCCCAGCGTTATTACTTTTATGCATAAGTGCCTAGGTACTTACTCACAAATGTTTTTGTTATCCGGTCTATCTGGAAGATAGACATCTGGGAAGTCGTATCATGTTCAGCAGTGGACGTCCAATAGATGATATGATGATAATGAATGTTTTTGCATTGTAATATAAATCCAATACCCACCTAATAAAGGGTTAATAATAAGATTAGGTAATTAACACGTTTGTTTACGACGCAAAAACGTTTAAAAGTTAAAAAAGGATTTTTGATTTGAACCAATAAACCAAACGTCGCTTACAAATGATTAAGTTACAATTTAATGTCGCAGCATAAAAACTGTTTTGTGTGAAATGGATCTTACACGCGTCGCGTCACACCGGGCGCGCGATATCGCGACGTTGCCGCGCTGTGCCAGCCAGAATTATTATCGCGGTTATCGAAACCGCGTCAAGAGTAGTGGTGACTCGCGCGATCAAGTAAAATATAGCGTAGGCTTTTATGTTTGCCTAGTATCATTCAATGAACTTATGATATGAAATGTCCACAGAAATAATTATTGAAAACAAACTTATTTTATCACATCTATGGAAATACCCCTGAGTCATCACAATTATGTAGGTCTGTATGTTCATTATAGATTATAGACTTTTTTAATTATATAAAAGTTATTAAAATAATTATCACCTTCACGAAGTTTTTAATAAATTAGTACCTAGTTGATAATATATCCTAATATTTCAATTAACAGGAAGGAAACTTACAAAATGTAACAAAAGTATAAAATCCTTTTGTGCATATTTACTAAAAGAGACATCTAGTAGCATTATGAGGAACTACGGTCTTTATTTTTTACTCGTAGCACATGACAACGATCGCGCTATCAAACACAGAGATTCTTATACAAACAAGAAGTACATACACAGTCAGCTAGATGTCGCTTGAGTCAACTATAGACCTTGTCGCTATATTTTGTGTTGATATCATTCACAGCCTTTTTATCCCCGAAGAGGTATCCAGAGGGGCACAATACGGCACTTAAAGCCACTGTAGAATGTAATACTCACTTTTCTCTTAATATTGGTTCCTAATATTATTATTTAGAGTTGTTTTCAGTTTTGGAATATTTTTGTTAGTAGTAGATACAGCTCTGGGAATAGAACCTGGTGTAGGTAGGTGAGGTTAGATCACCATCTCACATGGTGACCTGGTGGTAAGCGGTGATGTGGCCTACGATGGAGCACGTAGATCCATAAGTTCGTTATGGTTATAAATAATGATTCGGCCATTATTCCATGGGACCCAATACAACTTAGTAATAATTACAACTTATAAGTACCCGGAAAAAGCTGTTAAATAATGTGTTTTCTTTTTTATTTTGATTCCCCCTAGTCCTTTCCATCATCGTAAAACAAGAAAATCGGCGAGGCGTCACCATCAGATTCATGCTAGATGTTCCACCCACACGCACGAAGCGCTTCGCATCTAGCTTCCTTGTGCGTACTGCTAAGGAGTGGAATTCTTTGCCAGAGTCTATATTTCCTGAAGGGTATAACCTGGGTATCTTCAAGGCCCGAGTGAGGTTGCTTATGGGTCGACGTACTCCATCGTAGACCACATCATCGCTTACCATCAGGCGAGATAGTCGTCAAACGTTAGCCCATCAAATATAAAAAAAAATACATAATGAAAGATGTTGTCAAAATATTGTAAAATACCGGACCAGTCCCCAGCTCTTTGTTAACGGCTATATCATAATATCTAAACAAGTTTTGTATCATTGGGTCCTGCGAAAACCATTTTCATTTGAGAGCTGATAATGTTGAGGAATTCTATAAGTGAGTATATTTCAGATCAAGGTCACTCTTGAATCGGATCGAAATTGAATTTTTATTTTTTTGAATCGGAATGATTATTGGATATTGTAACTTAATTGGTCTTGTTTTAATAAGGAATTGTTAGCAACGGTTGTGATTTGATTGTTTTTGGAGATATGATGAACTATTGTTAGGTATGCTATAAAATCTGTAAACTACCATTTTTCAGGCAAATAAATGAATTTATCTATCTTGTTTATTTCTTAAGCAGACGTACCTTTTAGGTAGGTACTACTCAGAATCTTATTATACATTAACATAACATCACGCCTTTTATCAGTGGGCAAAGGTGCACATAATGCCACTGTACAATGTAACACCCACTTTTCACTATTTATGTTATGAGTCCCATGTAATAGGGCCATCCCATGTAAAAGCCTATTGCCATATACCGGGCACAATTCCAGACTCCGTGCTACTATTGAGAATTTTTGAGGCCCCTTGCCCCTTGAGTCGCACTTGCAACCACTCGGCCAACGAGGCAGTCTTGTTATACAAGGAAATTTTATAAAAGTTATAAATGGCAATCTTATTATACAAGGAAACAATTCGATATATTTTTCTCTAGGATTTTTGAGTCCACAATGTTCAAAATTTTTATAAAGATTTTCTAATTGGGTCCACCCTAGGGATACAAGGTATTAAGCATTTATATTATGAAAATATTTTTAAATGAGGACGTTTAAGGTAGATTTTGATTTTACATGAGTGATCTTTATGCTATGGTAGAAATTCCAACAATATTTTGTCTGACTCGGGTATCGAACCCAAGACTCATAATTTAGTAATTTATGCTTAGGAGGAATGCTTGTGTAATATCACACTCGATTATAAGTAAATAACTACGGGCATAGGATAATAAAACTCAAAATTCTTGTTCACATTTTATTTAGAGACATCGGTATAAAATATATGAGATATAAAACAGCACAGTCGTGATAAATTAAAATATATCATAATATACGATAATATAAAACACGTCGATATATTTAAAATAAAGGATTACAGTGTAACATAATCAAACGTGGGATATTCGAGTGAGGTCAGCTTAAACAAAGAAATACAATACAAATACATCATTCTGACCTTAGAAGATACAATATATTATGAAACAAATAAAACGTAAATGGTACTTGGACAATAGGTATAGAACCAATCATTATATTCACTGTGATATTATTCAAGTTTATAAAATTTTTCATCGTCATTCGTCAATCGAAAAAACTGCCGCAAACTGACGGAAGCATAGAACAATTATACAAACATTATTCGTATTGATTTTTAAATTTAATATTTTTAACTTTTAATTCTTACAATTATTTTATCACAGTGAATAGAGCTTAGGTGTGGGGATAAAGGTGAAGTCAGGAGAAACCTCGAGAGGTTTAATCGAAAGTAGATGTGGCCGTGTCATAACAACGGCTGTGATAACATTTAGTACATAATAATGTTAATGATAATATACTGTTTATACCCTAAACACTAACTAATGCGTTTCACAATATTAATACGTAATACATGACGATCAATTGAAACATATAAAGCGGAATGTCTCATACAACGCTGTCAAAGGAAACAGAATGGCCTGCAATAACAGACCGGGGGCTGATACTCTCGATAGTTGTAACGATAGAAATCGGTCGCTAAGTTAGCTATTACTTTAATAGATTTCCAATTGTATCACAAAAGAGTAAAATTAAACATTAATTCTACTAAATGTAATTCATTATCTGTATTCTTTATCGCTTCCACTAGTCTTGTAACATATTTAGAACGAAAAAATGATAATTAAAGTGTACGATTTAATCTCAGATTTTTGTCGTTACCATTATCGAGAGTCTAGCCCAGACACTACATACATGAACATTTATATAGCATAGCATTCATCTATAGCGTCCATATATACTTTAAATACAGATATAAAAGTACTATCAAAATAATAATTAATTATCTAAGTAAGTCGAGAGTAAATTAAATAAATGTAATTACGTATTGGTTGCTCGGTTACAGTTTATTGTGTTAATCTTGTTGTGTTGTTAAACCGAGTTCTGATTAACTAAAGTTTACATAAATGAGTAAACAATTAACATAACTTAGATATCATATATTAATTTCCCTAAAATAATTATACAATCTCATCGTTTAATAAAATCCTCAATTCCAGACAAAGCTAGCATAAATATATATAACATAAATAATTTATTTAAACTTCAAAGATATGGTTAAACCACTTTAACGTTAACTTTGGCACGGCAATTTATTTAAACAAAATCGCTAATTGCTTTAAAAAACGTTTTAAATACAATATATATTTCATGTATAATTTATTTAACCATTCAATAGATATTATATAATATTTAATTTTATAACAACTATAATAATTCGGCTATGATCGATTGATCAATCAGAATGCTTGGTTTTAAATTCATAATATCAACTGACAGTGCACGTGTGTAGTCACTAGATTATCGTGACACATTGTTATTTTCCAATAGTTCATTCCTTCAAGCATTTAGTCAATCAAACAAAAGCATGTAAAAATAACTGATACTCTTCTTTGGCAACTTTCCTTAAGCGAAATTCAGGCGCTAAAGCTCATAATGCATAATATTTAAAATAATGTTACACATACATATATAGATTACAGACTATAGTTACCAGTTATAATACAATAAACTAGTTTGTTCTTACCCTAACACATCGACGAACTTAATATCATTAGGTATATGGAATACTTTGTGGGCACGACTGGCAGACGCCTAGCTCATTATGCAAGCCTGGTAGGTGTACTACACTCAATGACAGACAGAAACATCAAATTACATATGAAATCCAGAGCTCAGAGACGCCATACATATTTGATGTTTCTATTTTCATTTACAGGACTGGTGATATTATCTTCATTTCAACTTGGATTGAATTTGGAAAAGTCTGAAGTTTCATAGTATAATTTTATATAGTTTTCCAAAATAAATCCATGCTTTCTGAACCTACACAAGCATCCGCTAGTCGGTCCCAGAACTTAAAGAAACATTCATAAACATTAATACCAGTACAACACACAATGTCTTCATCATTACTCCTAATCAATAAATATACAATAACAGTAATCCCGTCCTTCTCGAAGTAGCTTCCACCTTACTACAGAAGACCTGTGATAACTTCTGCTCATACATTTTTCATACAACTCTTTATCAGCTAGTTTATGGCACATACAAATTAGACAGCAGACAGAGACAAGTACTTCTCATAGATCCAAAGCAGTAAGTACACAAAAATGTATGAGATGAGTTCAATCAACTCGCAACAATCCATAGATCTTACGCATATCCCATAAAGTAAAAAAAATATATTAAAAGTAAAAAATACTTAAGACTAGAATATCAGGAAACTAACGAGTAAAATTAAGTGTGCTTTCAATACGAACAGATAAGCATTCATAAATCCGATACATAATTTGATTATACTGGACCAAGCATTGGACCCCACAATGAGTGATGAATTCAATCCGTAGACCCCAAAATATATATATTCCAAAATTAAATTATTGTGTAAATCGATGACTATTAAATTATAGTACTATAGAAGGTAAATCATCAAAACTGATAAATAAATGATTTCTTTGAAATTTATTTTAGAACACTCTTCTCAGTCTCTTAGGATAAAAATTCCAAGGTTTTATAAAGTATCGAAAGTGAAACGTAAAGTAGGTAATGAGAAACGGCGAAGTAACGCGAGTGCGAGTAGATATGATATTCCGCATTCCATAATATAGTAACACTGATACTATCCTACACGATGATCATATATTGGTCTATGAGATATCTTCGTTAATCATAAAACACCGAGACACAACATCGAATGTAAACACGTACAGCTATTGTATTGATATTGTAATATTATTCTTTATAATGATTAAATGTTTATTATAATTGTAACACTACGTAGATGGAAACGAAATTGTCTCGACAGGGAAGCGAGTCCACTGTCTAGCTACAGACGAAACGTCGGACAGCAAAAGATGAGCCGTTTGAGGGTTTATCTGCAAACCCCTACCTTATGATAAGCTGTCAGTCAGTTTAGAAGAAATATAAAAGTAAAAATGAGTCGCGTTAGAAATGAACTAGTTCTTCGTAATATAAATAAGTTGGATGAAAGAGTAACATAACAGTAACGTAGGGTACTCGCTACGTTATACAAAGTTATATGTTTGAAACGTTACGAAGCTCTTAAATGCATGCAATTCTTATAGTACATGGTCGTAATCATGTGTTCTATAGTATATTGTTCATTAAAACTGCAGTTTATTACTATTTTACTAAATCCATTCTGTTCACAACGGACGGTAAGGTTTAGAATGATTAAAATTTCAAAACGATCGCGTAAATCTTTAAGGGGTCACTAAAACTTAAGATACCTATTCGAATTTTGAGTTTAGGTTGTAAATTTTTCAAAAATATATTCACTCAGAAATTATAAATATTCCGAATCTAAATTTTATCACGATAAAATAATGATATAAATAAAAAAATTAAAATATAAAATGATCGGTGTGAGTTATGTGAGAATAAATGGTAGGTCCTAATTAAAATGATATGTAACTAACGTTGTATATAATATATACCATAACATTAATACAAAAGACAATAATTATGTAGACACATTACAAAATATTTACAAGTTAGATTATAGTAAGGGATACGTGAGAACAGACTGGAACATTTTATATCCAATTATTATGATATTGTGGAGTACGTCACCGAGTGTACCTACACAATGTATGTACAATTGATGACCACTCTCTCGTGAGAATGAACCGCTAAATCCTACAGACACAAAATGGACGCGATTCATTCTCAAATTCCATACATGATTATATTGTGAATGTTTATATATTTTGAAAGTAAACAGTAAAGTACACTAAATTACTTTTAGTAGATATTACTAAACCTAAATACTAGAATGTTTCGAGTTACCTTACGAGAAAATTAATTGTGTATCTTAAGTAATACTTGTGTGGCGTAAAACAAATAAAATAACAGTGTTTTACTGTAACTGTTTACGTCAGTGTGACGTCAACAGACGGAGACTGTAGTCGTGAAACTATTTGAAAACGCGACTGGGAATTCAAGCACGTCCAAAGGCGTACTGTGTGAATAAGTAATTAAATAAGGTCACGTAAAGTATGGGAACTTTTCAGATTAAAGTACTCCCAATTCATGCTTACGTTGAAAGTAAAACAAGTGAGTATTTCATTATAGTCTGAGAAACAAAGATTTCCAACTGACTGCTACGAAAATCGTAAGACTAGATTGAAAATACAGTCCAAGAACAGCAGCAATCTGTGGTGTGGGCTCAACACACAGATAACTATTGCCAAGAGACACAGATCTAATATCGTGAGTAGACAACCAACAGTACGGCGACATCGAGAGTTTACGAGTACATGATGTGGGCTGTATTAGGCCCGTGGGTCCCTTACAGCACACGGACGCTTAAGATAGGCTAGTCTAGTGGTCGGGACTTAGCTTAGGTGTCGCTGGCAGCTGAGGGTTGCTTGATGAGGTCCACATCACGGCCCACACTGGCTTGAGACTTCAGCTTCGGTTTGTCAGCTGCCTTATGATCATGCGAGTGCTTCTCATGTCCTTTATGGTCGTGATGTCCGGTCTTATGGTCGTGGTGGCCGGTCTTATGGTCATGGTGGCCGGATTTATGGTCCGGTCCGCTCTCGACCACGCTCACTCCATTCTTGTGTGTGGTAGGCTCTGGATCCTCTTCATTGTCCTGACGGAACTTGCGATTGTACCAGTGGAGGCAGATGCATCTGGAAATGGTTGGAGTACGGATTTTAATTTCTTCATCTTCTATCATTATTTAAATTATGCTTGAATGAATATTTTAACGAAAGATCGTGTAGCTACTGTTAGTAATTCGGCTCCTATGTAATAAATCAATGCAATTGATTTTGGCCAAGTCACTATATTTAAAAATAAACCCGTACATATGTGTAGCTTTCACACTATGTATTCGCTTTGACCTAACATTAAGCGATTACTAAACAAGCAGCTATTTTAAAATAGCTCCAGGTCAAGGCTTTTTACATAAAATTAATAAAACACCTCTTTGAATGGGTCTGCCTGAGCTTGACTATAAATAACATCGCCAAAATCTGCATTAAGGATAAAAATGAGGGCTATCACTAACAGCTAAAGCTATTACAGGAGAACAGTAAAACTGTGGAGTTGCTTTGTTTTATTTATTTTATAAAACGGGCCCTTAGACGGACAAAGATTGAAGTGGAAGTGTCTCGGCCGCCTTTTAATTCAAACGTAATTAACAACACCAGAATGGCCGCTTTTTATTAAAAATATCGTGCTCACATTACATAAAAGAACGCTTTAAGAAAAACGCGCGGCCTAATCTTTTTGAAAGAAATATTTGTATTTCACTTCCCTCGTTTCCTAGTATAAAGAATACAAAAAATGTTTTCCTTTCATTAAATTATAGCATACAACATTTAATTAATGTTCAGAAACATTTTTAGGCTTTTAAGAAGGATATAGAATGATTAAAATGATAACGATAGCTGAAATATTACCATGTTCATTCGAACAGAAACTGCTGGTGTTTATCAGATCGTAAAAGCATCCATAGCAAACTGCGGTACGGATAAAGCCATCAATCTCATAAATGTCAGCGGAGCAAGGACGGTCCTGATACCAGGCAAATATGAAAAGAAAGAGTTTTGATCGGGCACAGCTATAGCGTAATAACTTTCTTATCTCTAGGACATTTTCCCGTCACAAGGATGCTAAAATGGCGGTCTACGAATTTCTTTTTGCTCAGCGGCAGGATGATAATAATCGGTAAACGTTGGAACAACGTTGAATGATAAGATTTTCCGTTGCTTTTTATTTTCGTTGTTCTTCAATCGTATACATATTTTATTTGAGTAAAGGTAATTCCTTTATATTGTAATTGTAGGTGTACCTAACTAAGGTATCTAGGTAATGGTGTTAGGTTTTAAAGTTCTCATGGAAATTACACCATAAACATTGCCCTCAGAGGGCCGAGGTACTCCATAACTTTACTTTCTCGTTGAATTAAAAGCATTTTGCTATCGGCGAGTATTTCATTTGCCTAATTGGTTGGGGCCAGTTTATCGTTAATTTTCCTGAGTGTAGCCACTTTAATAGTGGGCTTTACGTGACTTCGATGTAAGCAATCCGTCCTTTCCCTGTTCAATAACATAACAAGTATCTACACGTCTTGTAGCCAATAACGATTTGTTGAATTCCTTCGAAAGTAAAAAGTCATAAGTTTATAGTAACTACTTCATAAATTAACAACTTTTAATTAATGTTATATTGATTGAACCAACTAACTCATTAACTATTTCTGACTAATTTGTTAACTCGTACACTTAGTGACCCACAGACCTTTAAATGTCACCACTTTTCTACCTCATTGTTATTTCATGGTTACTCGCACTGTAACCAAACTACAAAGAAGTAATGCCTACAACAACCTGCAAAATTAATTAACTTTTTCCAGGTATAGGTGTACTTAAAAAAAGATTAATGGGTCTTAGAAAATACGGAGAGTTGAAATATAGTTATTAATTTTAGAAGCGTGTAACTTACATGACTTTATATTAAAGACCTAACTACAAAAAATATATTTGTACTGTTATGATATCCTGGTACCTACCTCAGAACAGCGCCAAGTATGCCGGCCCCGACCAGTGCAGCGCCGGCTCCCATCAGATAGTAGCGATGTTGTGCGGCTTCAGCGCCAGGCGAGAGCTGCACCAAGCCCACCACCAGTACTACGATCCCTAGCAGAAGGGATCCCACTACTGCGTGAAGAGCTGCCACCTGCGCATACTAATAACATTTGAAAGATCTTTAAAGATTTGTGTAAAACATAGATCTCCTCTAGAGTAACACCGATTGACGATGAAGGGAAAAGGAAGGAGAAGAATGTTGTAACACAGATTTGTAGTGCTTTAGAGGGTAAAGAAGTACTTTTACGGTCTCACACAATAGTGAGTTAACTTGTTCATTATTGGTGCGTTGTTTTTAATTTAAATAGCCCGGATTTTGTAATTGTATTGACCTTAAAAATACTTCCTTGGAAGAGAGAGGGACAGTGACCCACATAACACACAAGAGAGGGATGACAACACATCATGCAAGGGTTGTTGTTACCTTGGTAGTGGACAATGCACTATGTTAGTAGCACGGTAGCGTTGAAGACAACGCTGCCAACATACATACAGACTCCACAATAACTGGATGAGTTTGTATGACATCTTGGAGACAACCTCCAATAACGAAATACTTCAGCCTATTACAGATGCGTCAAAAATTAGTGTAGTATTTGTATTATAAGTAGAAGTTAGACAGATCAGGCTGAAAATATTCACAATAATATGTTGTGATAGTTAATTTCATTTTAAATACCATAATGTGGTTCATAGTTTTCCTGTAGGTAATTTAGTTTCTTTCATTTTCTTTTACACACACCGAGTTATTATATTAGTAACTAACTATGCAGATAATGCTGATTTCACAGTACGCTCACCTTGCCGCAGACGTAGAGTTCATTCCTCAGCCGATGATGGTCAGGCGAGGGTGTGGCGTCTGCATCCATGGGGCGGCCGAGCTGCAGTGGCAGCTGCGATGGTCTCCGCCCCCCTCCTCCTCCGCGTTTTTCATTGCGACGTCTTTCATGGCGAACCGCCACAGCTGGCATAGCACCAATCATCTTCGCTGTACAACACCAGGCCTTCAGAGGCGTGATGGAGGCCCATGTTTAGAAGTCATGCTTTTAAACACGGGCCTCCACCACTCATCGCATGATTAAACGTTTTTATTTCCTTACCTATTTGCATGAATCTTATTTATTAATCAAGGAAAATTAAATGTTAGGAAAGGGTTTTTGTGTTTTACATTTAACTCTTAGCTTATGGAAATGTATAATACTATTATTATTTTATTATGGTCATTGGTCAGCAGCTTAAAATGAAAAGTGTGTCCTTGTCCTTTTGGTTTGGGGTATGGCATGAGTGATGAATGGCATGGCAGGGTTGCAAACATTTTTTCTCTCTGGTAAACTATGTCTGAAGTCATTCTCTCGTGCCTCACACACAACCATACACAGGAGCGCAAGTATTTTACTGTCATACTTTAGTAGACATAAACGGAAAATATGACCTCGAAGCTTTTTATCTTTACATAAAAATATGGGATCTTTAATATATTGTTCGTGAGTTTTCCTTCAAAGCGAATACGGAAGTTTTAACTTTAGTGAAACTTGAAAGTAACAAAACCAATTTGGCAAGTGAAGCGTACAGCTTTGTGGAAGCAGGAACGTCTTACACACATTCCAACATGATTGCAAACGAAGAAATGATCTTTCTTTTCATTCAAGACACTATTTGTATTGTCCTTTAACATTGACAAGCTTTGCTTCGAGCTTATAGGGACCAAATGAAAACATACACAACCACACAGGTATCTTGACCACACTTAGATAATAAATTCTAAATCTAGATGTATAATTATACTTACACCGCTGATTATCTCTTGGTTGAAGTAAGGACTGGAGCATATCTGCAACAAGCAATTTGATGTCAAGCGAAGGATCTAAGATGGCCGCTTTACAGAACAATACAAGTTGAAGTATCTCGTAAAAATTAGCAATAAAACAATCTTTATGTGCTTCGCCTGTGTTATAGGTTCAGTCGAAGTTCCCTGTACAGTCACTTGTAAAAATGTTATGTACACTTAAATCCTGAAAGGGTTTTATGAGATATTTTATTTTTGAAGTGCAATAGCTATAGAAGTTAAAGTGATCCTGCCTAATAGATGAGCTACATGATCAATAAAAATACATTGCCTCTAAGACATGTGATCCTGGTAACTTTAGAGAATCTTTAGTTTTTTAGTACCATTTTGTTTTGAAGTTGTCGCTGTGTATTACTTAGTTGGAGTGTCGTGGGAATACTGCAATATGACAAGCGCTAATGCACTTAATGCAATACACAGTTTGTTGTACCCGTCAGTGCAAGGAATGGAAAACTTGCAGTAGCATCTATGGAAAATTAACTTAGAATATTGTTGTGCTTCTCACTTTTATACACATAGGTATGAGTTTAATCTAATTACCTAAGTGAGTAACTGCATTATAAGTGTTATGAGCTGTGTCGTGGTATTTAAGAATCAGTATCATAAAAGGGTTTACTTTTGACAAAACTTTGACTAAACTGATGTTGATTATCCTATTGTGCCGATTGTACTTTTGCAATAAAATGCGAAAATAATACGTTGTTGTGTTGTTTTATGTTTGATCAGATCAAAGACATAGTAGTGTGGGTAGTACGATGCCGCGTTGTACGCACGTCCCTGCGCCGATTTATTTGTTTTCCTATTGCGTCCGTTCACAGAAACGATCGACTGTGCAAATAAAACAAATATGTTTGTGAACCCGTGGGGATTTCCATTTTAAACTATAGTTGAAAATACGCTTTTGTATTGTATCAATTCCTTTTGATAAAAATATTAATTGATTGGACTTGTTTTAATTGACTGCTTTGCGAAGAAAATACTTTTCGTAGTACGACACGATTTGTTTATAAAACCACACTGACTACATTTCTAGACTTACCAACTATATTAAATTCTGTATTGTGTTACTTAATAAAATCATCAAAATTTAAATGATTTACGCTGTATAACTAAATAAAAATAAAATCAACTTATAAGTACTTACGGAGACGAGATAGTAACAGAATTCTTATTATCTTTATACTTTACTGAGACGTAGAACAAACAAAATATTCGACGGTTCAGAGAAATAATTTACTGCTCGCTGTGTATTTGTATCTGGTGATTGATCGTTGTAACAACTAGTCTTGGCAGGTAGATGGGTGATCACGACAGTACTCAGTACTTTGACAGGTAAAATAGGTGTTTGTGGTTGTAGGTGGTGTTGTATTTAGACTAACTGAAGGGTAAATTCATCTATTTATTTATTTTCTCCGTAGAGGTATGTTGACAAATATTTTTATCTACAAGATTTGAGAATGATAGTAATTTGATTATTTTAATATTTTTAAATCACTTAGTATAAAACAAAGTCGCTATGTGCCGTCTGTCTGTCCACATGTATGGTTAGATCTTTAAAACTACGCAACGGATTTTGATGCTTAATAATAATGGGGTTTTTTATAGATAGAGTGATTTTTAAGAAAGGTTTATATGTATAATACAATACGCTAGTATTAGTATAAATGTACATATCTTTGTTACTCGTTGACTAACACTGACTGACTGATAGCACTGACTTACACCAATGCAGTTTTACCGTGGATTCAACGAACTCAGTGATTTCATAGGTTACCATTCGGTACAAACGCTTATTCTTAAGTTGTGTGTATAGTTCCGAGTATAAGAAATAGGTTTAGGTAAGTATAAGACTGAATCTCTATAGTACAATAGTAAGATAATATAATATTTGAGTTGGCAAGTAATCAACTACTGGGAATGTATGTGGTAATATACAATAATAAGTGGTCGCTATGGAGATAGCTAATACAATACTGAGTCATTGTCTTGAGGGCTTAGGGAAATGTCTATATTTTATATCGTTGTTACGTAATATACAGAAAAACTCTACAGCTTACATAATAGTGTAAGATTCAGACACATTCATCATAAACAGTCTATAAGTGCCCACTACTGAGCAAAGCTTCTTCTCGCACAGAGAAGGTTTGAGCATTAATCACCACGCTTGATCAATGCGAGTTGGCGATTTTAAACTTATAATTAGAAATTATAAGTCCAGGTTTCCTCACGATGTTTTCCTTCACCGTTTGTCTGTGGTGTCTAAATAATCTTAGAAAGTACATAAAACTCGGAAAACTCACATTGGTACTTGCCGTTGGTAGGTTTCGTACCTGCACCGTCCTGCATGAGAAGCGAGTGACTTAAACTCCGGGCCACAACGCCTCAGAAATATTATACAGGTTCTAGGTTGTAAGAAACTTGATTATTTCAGCCTTTTATTTCGAGACTTTTTCTTTTTTAAACTCTACTTGAGGACGACCGTAGTACTGATTTTGATTACTTCAAATATTTCAAAAACTAGCCTGCTTTAATCTTTTGAACAGCCTTCTCGACCTCATGAAGTCTTGGTAACAAATCATGACTACATAGCGTAGGATTGAGAGGTGAAGAAAGAAAGAAGGAGAATAATAACTTTGCTTACTCCACATTTTATTTTATTAAAACTGTCTAAGGTAATCTATAACCTAATATTTTGTTGTACCTAATACCACCTCTGGTTCATATATCGCTGACTCATTTCGTATAAGTGTCGTGTGACGTTTATATCGTGTTTCGTTCCTCACATAAATAACGTGTCGTGGTAACTCGAGCATTTTCGGGTCAGGAGCCCTTCTGTACGAGATAAGGGAGGTGATATTACGACACAATCGTATCGGGCGACGAGTCGCACAATTATTGTGAAACTGGTCGCGTTTTATTTACAGAGGTCTCATCGTTTGTCCCGAGCTTAAAGTGAAATTGTGCTCCGATGGTCGGTGTTTTCCTTTTTGTGATACAAAGATGATTTAGAAAAAAAATCCTGAGAGAAGTGTATCGTTTATTTCATGTGATTGTGATAGTTATTGGTGGTTCTAATACACTTTTCTATAAGGCAACTTCTAGTATGTAAATCTATATGTATAGATACAGTCCCGCATCTTATTTTATCTTACTCTTTTCTAATCTGAAATCGAAAATTAACCACAAAGGTAACCCTCTGATTGATGGTCTCCTTTAATATATACCATAAATATATCTCCCAATTAGTGTTACTGACGTCCCGTAATACCTACCGTCCAATATATATCAGTGAGGGACGTGTTCCGGCCAGGATATTGACGTCCACCCCTCGCCGTCGCCCCTACACTAATTGCCAGGGTCATATTTTACACGTCATGTCATTTTAGGGGGATTTGGTATCGTGTTTATGTGTTGGTAATATAAATAATTGTTGTTCCATAAACGTTCCAATTATATTCAATAGTATTTATCCAAAAGGCGATTATAATACATAATAGGCGATTATAATACACTTTATCGATATTTGTAACGTAGTAATGAATCATCATCATCAGAAATCATCTATGTAGTATATCATGAAAACTACTAGAGAAATAACAACCGTATTATTATCTTAACTTTTTAAATTGCTTCGATCCCACTCGCCCAATAACATGGAGATTTTAGAGATATTGTCTACGAACTACGGGGCTACGCCGCTACGGGCTACGATGCTACGGGGATCGGGCGGCTACGAGCTACGAGGCTATAGAGGTCGATTGTCTACGGCCATGCATAACGAATACTTTATTGTATGAAGGACATATATCCTTATTGGTACTGATACAGATGGGATAGAAAGGGCCTATACTAAATGTTTTTTTCTGTATCCAACATAAATGACAGTGTTGTGGTCGATCTTCTATATGCTAATACATTTGTTTAGCTTCTATTAAATGCGAAGAATCCATTTCTATAAACTGGGAGTTTTAAAGACTAAACCAAGAAGTGTAGTACATAGAATTGGAGGCCTATAATCAGCAGTTGGTGAACCAGGGTTGATAGATACGATTATGATGAAAGATTTGTATGAACCAATATGTTGGCTGTCATACTCAGGACATCAAAATTGATATATAAGGAAGGCAGTACATACATAAATACCTAACCTCACGCCATGGGGATAGGCACTTGACCTAGACTATGGAATTCCAATCGCTAGTATTCCTATATACCTCTGTCGGTTTATCAATAGTCATGTAGGTACACAGTATGATTACAAAGGACTCTATTTCAGGTTTCAGTAAACCTACTATATTATTTAGATCATATGATAGTATCTAATTAAGTCATTTTCGGTATCAAAACACAAGCCTACAATATTAATGAATACTTAATATATGAAGGAATAAATAACAAACGCGACCTTTTGTAATAATTAGTTTATTTAATAATAAATCGAGTGAAATAAATTATATTTGCCTAACGTGGAATGATTCGTGAGTCGAGATAAAATAGCCTTCATTCTGAGGGAAACAACTCATGTTGAAGTTACTTTATAAGTTAATAACTAATGAAGTATGAAATTACTGCAAATACAATTACAGTTCCATTATTTCCATTCTTTAGGTAATTTTAAAGTTAGATATAAAAAATTATCGATGTATCTTTTGTTAATAATTTTCAACTTTTTTGCTTCGTAATAAAGTCGCATGTTGTCTGACATGAGTTGTTTACTCCACAATGTATTTGTTTATAAAATCTTCATACAATTTACAGAAAACTATTTTTTTACACAATTCTTATTACATTTTATCAAAGATGTCTAGATTGAAAAAGAAAATAGTTCTAATTTCAATTGAAAATGTATTTATTAGGACAAATCCGAATTTTCTTTATACAAAGTTTAGGACTAAAATTCGATTCTCAATCTAGGAATTTATAATTTTACAAAGATTTTGGTGTTTATTTTCTATTTCTGATATCCTATATTTAGTATCACTTTACGAGAAAACAACGATCGGTGTTAATTCAGAGTGGAATAAATATTGATTTTAAAATGACAACGACTATGTAAAGATTTGTAAATAAATGCGAAGTTATATGTATTCAAAATGTTTAAATATGAAAATGTTTAAAAATCTCTAAGAAACTACAGTTGTCACCAAAGTTATTGACCATTCCGTAAACCATTTTGATTAATCTCTTCAAACTGGCACGTGTACTAAATAAAGTCATCATGTACGGAACAGCCATAGAGTTTGACGACAACTATAAGTCGGTATTGCTTTTTTAAGGTCCATAGGTAATTCAATAATAAATTAAACACAATTCCCTATGACACTATAGTCCATGAAACAAACCACAACTATTCAAATCGATTAAATACATTAATGTGCTTTACAAGTGTATAGTTTTATTTAAAAAATGCGCAAAAGCGTTCATAAAAATGTTTCCACGACACCGAAATGGCATAAAAAAATCACAACTAACATGTTTTGAGCTTTAACACGACATCAAAACATTTGGACAACGAAACGACTACAAATTATAAACTAGAGGCTTTAATCACGATGGATGTACAATACTTGGATGTACAATATTTTGACTTTTGATTCTCAAGCTGTTAGCAAAGCGCTGCCGGCGCTTGTTTTGCGTTTTACAACAAACATTTGTAATCACTTTCGAAGGCTTTATGGTCCGGAGCGAGGGGTGATTGCATGGTATGTACACGTGACACTTACAGCCAAGTACTCGATTTGAATTACCCTATCAAAATTACCTAGATATAAAAGTATAGGCACAAGAAATTTTCACAATTAACGTGTGCAAACACTATATGTTGCGCTATCATATGTGCATCAGAATGAAGTATACGATAAAGTAATTATATTAGTATTAAATATTTTTAAATCACGTGTTCAGTAGTGCATTGTTGTAGCACAAATATGTTAATTGTTGCAACGGTAATAAAATTTGTGATAGATTTACATAACTTGATAAATATTTCTTTCGCTACAATAATAACATTTCGCTGAGTTTTAACATAACATTACTGTAAAGATAAAATCTATGTTTATTTGCTTACAACAATGCGCTAATGAACGTTTAATTCCATCTAATTAATGACAATAATAATTTAAAACACTTTTTATAATTTTTACAAAATAATACTGTCACCAATATCTTCACGACAAAATTTTAAAGAAAAACGTGCACAAGTTGTAAAATTACAATTCACTTTTATCTCCCTTATTTAGTACAACACGAAGCTAGCTTTTTCTAGACATTCAGGCGACAGAATATAAATACACGACTAGACTTTATGTCCAAACAGAGAACACTCGAGCTACTAAGCACAAACATTCCGAGACGTTCCCGTTTTATGACGAATTTATGATTCAGAAGGATATTTGCAAAGCTGACAATTCTTTACGTGCTGCACTTTGCTCTGTTGTTCCAATAAAAAAGGTGACATTTTATACATTTGAAGTGGAATGCTTATTTAGAAAGTCGAACATTTTGAGTTGCTTTTGAAATATAACCGTTTCAATACTACAGCAAATTCGTATACATAATATTCACACAAGATAAGAGTCTGAAGTTATTTAGAGGTATTTATCTTGCTACAACAACCATAAGATCCATCTCTGTACGTAGCTCAGTGTTCTCTTAGTGAACCTTATAATCTACTTATCAAAAATTACCGAAAATTGTGCCATTACAAATACACAATAATATTAATTATATTGGTGAAATATTTATTTAATAAGGCAATGTTTTATAGACAGCACTTACAGTAAGAGACAGATATTAGATACCCGCTACGAGGTATGAAATAACTCGCAAATTTGTCGTTCTTTGTCAATTTTCTTGTGAAATTGCAAAAGTTGTTAAATCACAACATTGTTTTACTAACCCTTTCATTTGCTAATAACAATTACAAGATAAATTGTTAAAGAACTTCAAATTTGCACAACAATTAATGGAAGATTGAAAGAGAAAGTACTAGGAGAGAAGTAATGGGAAGGAGTGTAAACCTAATAATTTAAATTTGAGCATTGTGAAGCTAAGCTCGTGTGTTTAAGCTTAATATTAATATCAATGTTTAATAATGTGTACATATATTTATATAATTTGACATCTCGATTTAAAATGGAAAATATTTCACAGCCCCAAATAAAATAAACCTAACGATTAAAGTATAAAATTATTGGACAAAAATTTTAATGCACAGATGTAGTTTATGTTAAAATCGATCGCAAAATATCCTTATAATTGGATTGGAGTTTAGTGCAAATATTCTTAGCTATGGAAGATTTAATTGAAGACAAGGAGTAGTGATATATTGAGATCGATTTTAAGATAATATATTACATGAAGTAACCTAAAGGCTTTACTAGAACGTAATAATATGCATTGCCACGAAACTTTTGGCACAGGTCTGTTGAAAAGAAAATAGTGCACACTGTGTGCCTTATGATATCATGATATTTACTTTATATTATAAATTATTTAGATAATAATATATTTAGGCACTATTCAGATACGTTGGGCACAGTTAGAAGAACAATGTTATGTTATTTAGCATTTATACCTACTAATTCATACAGGAATACTTTGTTTTGAGAAAGTAATTATTATTTAATATGTAGTTTGTTTCTCTTTTGACACTGCAACATAGTTAAGGTACTGTTTCATTTTTTCAGTTCAGTCATAATTACATAATTATTTTATATATTTATCTATCTGGAATGTTTTGTCCAATACCTATTTAAACCAAAATAGTTGTTAGTTTAAACTCACCCACGTATCTAAACAGTAAACTAATTAATAATTAATTAGAGTAGAAGACAAACCAACATACAATATTATATAAAATCGTCAGGTATAAGAACAGTATATAACAATCAGTCTCAAGCCAATACATGCGGAATTCCAATGTTAATTTAATTAAATATACAAGATCACTCGTTTACTACTGCAGTGTTATATACAAACTACCAGGAGAACAAAGCAACGCACAACTATGTTTACTTTCGCACAGTTTCGTTGATGTTAAAAGACAATGACATTGTTTTGACCATTACGTCGTATCGATGCTTAGTATTTATTCTAACTGCGTATTTTCAGTTTTACAAACAAACAGTGCCTGCCAACAAACAACGATTCCACGATACGACTACAACGTTTGTTATTCTTCGCTTTCTAACAAAACGTCGAAATAAAAGAAAATTTCCGAGTCACGCGACCGGAGCCATTGATCTCATTAACGGCCGCGTTCCTATTTAACTACTGCAGTTATAAACGAGTTCACAATACAACTTACTGCTAAGTCTACCAAAGAGTTGGTCCGTCTGTTAAAATATAAAATAGAGAAGCGTTCCCCGAACACAAATGAAATATCCATTGAAACGTCGAAGCATCCAAGCTTTAACCAAATAGCAGGATAGTTACATAGAAACTTGTTAATAAATATAGCGGTACAGTAGAAATACGATCTCATTACGAGAGATATAGAGTTCATTTCACTTTGCCGCGTTTCATGTGTAATAGACGAAGGAGGCAATTTTCGACAATTCTCTGATTCCGAGCATATCTGAGATTTAAGAGCGGAAGTAGAGGAAATGGCCACTAACTGTAACAGTTCCACTGCTGGAGAAAGACTAGCACTTTATATAAGTGTGCGCTCGCCTAGCGTGCTCGAGATGTTACAGGTTTCGGTACTTTGGGTTGTATCCTCTCTGTTAATGTTATGTTGTGCAAAGTTACGTAATGTAGCCACACCGTAGCATGCTCACAGGTTGGGGCATCATTGTATGCAGAAATATCAAGTTATGTGACGTCAGGCGGAGAGCTCGGAATCAGTGAGTTGTCGATTTAGGTGGCTCACATGCGTGACATGATCATGTAGCGGCCGTCGGACAGCAGCTCGCGCGTGTCAGACGGCGAGCCGGGGCTGAGGCTGGGCGCCACCGACGGTGAGGAGTACGTGTCCTTATTGAACTTGCCGAGCCGGCCTCCGCCCTCCGATGCCACCGAGATCTCCTCCTCCACGATCTGCTCTAGTGGCAGCTCGCGCATGGCGTCACCATTCATCGCCAGCGCATTGACGAACCCGTGCGCGCGCTCAGGTGGCGGCTCCGTGTATGTTTCCGTCACTGTTTCCGGTAACACCTCAGTAGCACGTGCACGGCGTGCATTTTTCGTGCGCATGCCACCAGTCTCCGCGTCCCTCTCTAATCGGTGACCTGAACGGGACCTTGTCAGCTGTCTCTGTACATAATCCTCTAGGGCGTCTTCCTCACTCTTCATCAAATATTTGTGCAGAACAATCAGAAAAACTCCAATTCCCACCGCGAACATGCCAGAGCAGACCAATTCATTGAACCAACTGACAGAGCCGACTGTGCTCCATGACGTTACGTTATCCGGCAGAAAGCCGGACCCGAGCAGGAACAGGCCGAGCACGAGGAACACCACTCCGAGGTGAAGCATACCGACCGTCGAGACGACCTCATTTTCGGTAGGGTGTGGTTTTCTGTAGCGACGTCTCTCCAAGCTGCCCGTGGAGCAATGTGGGGAGGTGACTCCCGACTCTGAAGACTGTAGCGAGTAGCGGCGCTCGCGAGCTCGCTGCTGCTCAGCGCGGCGCTTGCGCTCGCGGCGGATGGCGAGCGCCGAGTGCAGGCCCACCGCGTGCATCCTGCAAGCACGGGCACGGGTGAGTGGCGCTGGTCACGCCGCGTCGCACGCGCAGCGCAGGGCGATGCGCGTGCGACGCGTGCCGTGCGCGTGGCGTGGCCGCAGGCGCGGGTAGCCGCACGCCTGGCGGAGTGACCGTCGACCCGTGCCCGTGCCGTGCCGTATTCGATAGCGCAATACATGGAGGAAGGAACTTGACGTGAGCTTCGCAACAATGTCATTGTGCAGCGGCTGACGAGAGAAATTCAATTAAATACGAACACAACTTAGACTAGCGCCTGCCGTATGAATACAATGCACTACTTAACTTTAACATCAAGTCCGTTCCTATTCACATACAAGTATAATAACCATTGTTTACACAATAATATAGAACAGTAATATAATAGTAGCAGAAACAGATAATATTAAAATTGTCAAAGTACAAGTTATAACGTCGCTCCCATAAGAATCTAAACCAAGACAATGTCACGTCGTAAAAGTTGAGAATGACGCCGGAGGACATCGCTAATGTATTCGAAAATTGTCGTAAAATATTAAACAAGTTGATGTTATCTCCGGGTCGCTGTACAAAGTACATCGAGCGACATTTCCAGTGGTTCGGGTCACAAATGAAGGTCCTCTACTAAATTATTCACGGAGTCGCCCTCTGTGCGCGGGGAAGTGAAAACTTTGAACATGTCGAAATAAAGACATGAAAAGAAAATATAATGGCTAGTAAGATTTGCCAACTGAATATAAAGTACTGTGTGCTTTTGAAAGATATTTTTTGAGATAAAAGTATGTGTCTAACAAATGAGCTACATGTAAGCGGTAGTTTGTCTCATTCTAAATTTCTATAGCAAAACCTAGTGGTTTACGAAAGCCTGTATCTCGGAATACTAGCATTATGTGCACTAGTGTGTGTGCTCGTATGAAGTCGCACAAACTTGCACAAAGCTAGGTGTTCAAATGTTCCAACTACGACACATTGAAATGTCCGCGTGAAAGCCTTGAATGAGGTCTCTCAGGGACTCTGAAAGCGGCTGAATTACATAACGTTGCTATATTTTATTTTAATAAACACGCGCCGGTGGAAAAGGCTTTATGTTTCGCTTGTTATTTATTTACATTTCGATGTCTTGTTTATTTTGTTTAAGGAAGTTAAACACGATTTGAAAAGTAATGATGTAATAAGGGATCAAAAATGAAGTAACAGTATTTACTTTTGTTCAAATATTAGATACCTACATCCTCATTTTATACTACTCTGATACAAGTCCATGTCCATACATGAAGCAAGTCCATCAATTATTTGAAGAGATGGCGATCAAAGACATAAAAGAACTTTTTACCAGGAGAACATAAGAAATTGCAATTGATTATTGACTATAATTGTACTCGTCTATATTGGTCTATAGTTTGATTTAACATTTGAACTATGGCCAGTAAAGTTTTGATTCACAGTCGTCGTCACCAGGCGATTATGAACCCAGTCATATATCATTGACATAGGCCCTGGAGTCCTGCCAACCAGTGTCCAACTTCAGCACTATTTATCATAGCTGCTACTATGAAAATTGTTACCAGTAATGGTTTTACCGCAGCCATTAGTATGTGAATGCCCTATAGTGAAGGTGGACTTAAATATATATTTGTCACCTCTCTTGCTCTTCACGTGGGTGTCTTCAGAGATCAATCAGTTATCAGAAAATGCTGATAACTGATCTCCAACTGCCTGCCAAGCTTGGAGATTATTTTGACAAGCACATGGTCCAGCACGAGCTTAAGGAAAATTGGAGATTGGACTACAGATAGATTTATATACAGGGTGTAAACGGAATGTTCCCGAAAACCGCCGCCAGGTGATGGTAGAAAACAAGTTTAGTTTTATTTACATAAAAGTTAGGTATTAAATGTTTCTTGTGCGTAAGAATAGTTGTAACCAACTGTTCAAGGCTGATGTTGCATGAATAACACGAAAACAAAGGCTATTAAAATTGTAAGAACAATTTATTTGTGTCAGCGTTTCGGCAGCGTGCGTTTACACCCTGTATAAAGATACCTACAAATCTTAACAACTGTAATTATCTAATAAATATAAATTTAATATTATGCATCATAACTAGTCAAGTACCTAATCAAATGATTCAATAAATGATTATATTCCTCTGATGTTACTAGGATATCATAAATTGAGTAATCAATGTTCAATACAGTACTAATTGAAAAGCAATTCAATTCGGTTCAATAGCTCACAACTGCATGAATACAAACTAATTTCAAATGCATATAGATACAGCGTTATCATTCCAATACTCTATACCGATAATTCCCTGTAATTTCAAAATGATTGGTGTTCCTGAATACATTTGCAACGAGTATTTCGCTGTGAATGTAGTAATTTCTAGTGTATATACCTTCCAGCACTATTTGTTCAATTGTAGGTAATAAACATTCAACCCTTTACCGTTGCAATAAAGTTAAAAATCTACTAACCTAAGTACACTTTCCGATGGGCATAATTGGCAAACAAACAAACCTCGGAGCAAGTTGTGTTGTTTATGAACAAAGACCCTTCAGTGCAATTGACAACTTGCTTCCAATTAGCCAGTTAACTAGGACTATCGTGAGGTTTTCAATGAAAAATACAGTTCTAAGTTAAGTTTGCAGTTGGAGAAGAAATAAATAGATAGTTTGATATTGTTTAATTTCTTCAAATAGTATGATTTTGGGCTTAAAACTTTAAGAATTACAACTTAATTAAAGTATGAGCTCTTGAGCGCCGAACAGCAGTACGAAATATTATGGAAGAACTGTAAGAATGTCTATCTCTTTAGGGAATGACAGACGCATTGCTATGTTAAATAACAACAACTGAAAATAGGTTTAGCCTCAACAACACAGAGAGACTCTCAAACAAACAGGAACGTAATTGCACTCTTTGTTTTGCATAGGAAAAAAATAGTTCTATCGTCAAAAAAATAATCAAATCTGTGAAGCGGATTGAATGCAGATTGATATGACGTACTTGAATTCAGTACAACATGACGTGACCCAGTTATGCACGGTATTCAGCACACACTCGACATTTCAATAAATCCAAAATTGAATTTTCAACTAACTTTGCATATTGGAAAATTGGATCTGTACTTCAACAGTAGCTTGTTAGTCCTGTGACAATAGGATTGTTCAGCACACAATAGGAAACGAAGTAGTTACATGTTGACGTAAGTACATGCTGCACTGTACAGAAACCATTGTAATGCTTTTCTTATATAGAAACTCTGTTCAGAATATGCCTGATCATTGCGGCGGCTTACCAGGGCGGCAAATAATGTAGGAGTTACAATATAACACACAACATAAACTGTTTGCGTGGCAAAGTTAGGTTTCGTGTGATATCATATTATCGGCATCAGTGATTAATGAATAATTATAGTAGGCTGTGGGTAATAATAATTCAATCAGTAGAAATATTAATTTACTTTGCAAATATAATTTCTCTAAGACATGTTTGATGTGAGAATCGAACGCGTGTCAAGGTTCAGAGCAATGCAGTTAACGGCTTGGTATTAAAAACGTAATAAAGTTTTAGTAATCTGAATTAAAAATAATCATCGCAATTAAACCTTTGGGCGGACATAGAAAACCCAAGCAAGCAGGATCGCTACTCAAAGCAAACTCAACCCGTTAATTAGAACGCAAGCAATTTTAGCACAGTGCGCAAATGAGTTTCATCGCTGTGTGCAGTTCGCTAAGTTTCCAGCGCGCGCAATTAAACTCGACCCCTGTAAATACCACTTTAAAGTTTAAACTTGCGGAACGGTCTTCTTTCTTTATTTTTGTTTCCGCAGATACTTGTCAGGGATTGGCTGGAGGAGGTAGAACAAAGACCCGGTGCTAAAGGCTGGAAGAATTCTTTGTTCTAGAAAATAGCTGCATGGTCTGTTCTGCTCAACCACGTTTTAGTTTTTTACTTAGATGTGACAATTTAGAACAAATTTTTGCGTTATTAAATCGGTTTTTCTGCGAATATTTTCTGATGATGGAATATCGTTAATACGAGTATTATTTAAGTTGTTGTTTCAGGAATGTAAAACATTTTTGCTTAGCTGTCAGTTCAACAAGGGATTTCAATAAAACAGTTTTTTGGCTCTCATCCAAGTAACTACATTGAAGTTGTATTTACTGGGTACTTTCTTTTTAGGCCCAGATTTTTTGCTATAAGGAAACTAGACAGAACTAAAAACGTTGTCTTCCCGAAAATATGTCACAGACAGTTATATCTTATTGGCGAGAGTTCTTGGCACTCTGCCATCAGTCGGAGGCTTAGTGAAGCCTGTTGCGAGTCCCGGGAGGGCTTGGGAGGTATCTAATATCAGCTGTCTAGACGAGGGTATGCAGTCGAGCTGAAGTGGTCGACACTTGAAGCTTTTACGCTTATCGACAATCAAACGCCGGCGGTAAGTGGCTTTAAAGTTTCTGTCCCCGAGGATCGATTTTGCAGTGAAATGGGTGGCTTGGCATTTGTGAACTGGTTTATAGATAGGATATGAAGCGGAAATTAGATTTTTACATGTAATTTACTATTTTAAACTTTATTTTTAGTGGCTAAAGGAATCCTCTGTCGTAAATATTATTAAACTTATATTATAATGTTGACTACACTAGATGTAGAATAATATCCATGAAACTGAGATCCCATATTTCCCTAACGATTTATTGCATCTGCATTTCTGTCCCTAATTGGCCAACCATTTCATATAGACCAAACAGTTCAGCCATAGCCACGCCTTTGAGCACAAAATGGATTCAGGCTCTGTGGTATTTGTGATATATTTTAATGGCCTAGTTGGCGGGAATCCAAGGCGTATTGTTTTTACTGTTCTATTAGAAATTAGGACCGTTATGGGACAAAAATCTTTTTAGTACGATGTAGTATGGGCATTATGTTAGATCAGATATTTAGATGATCTTAATGACTAGAATCTTTGTCACATTAAATTAATTCCACATGGT